AAAAATATATATGAATTAAAGAAATAGATAAAATCTGTTTTGAAAAAGAACATCTGTGTGGCACGCTGTTTGTACAGCTCATCGATCAATATTTTTCACACGTCTTTTCAATTAATTAATATAATCCCTTGATCAATTAACAAATATCCAGTTTTTAGCGTGTTTATTTGATTTTAATTATTTACCATTTCGCACGCAAGAGAACTTTAGGTTGTGATCTCACTGTTCTTCGAATTTATACAGTAAACCTGTAAAAAACGTTTCTCAAACTTCTTTGAAGAAATAAATTACCAAACTTATATGATTGAGAAAATCACTTCGCTGTGATTGGCGTACTGGAGGCAAATTTGGTTATCATTAATCATTCGAGATTACTGGCAAAATTTTAAAATTATGTTACACTCTTACCCTAGTTTCCCTCGTGACGGCTTTTTTACTTCATATATTGGTAGAAAGGAGAAAGAAGAAAGGAAACCTCTGAGGCCAAGGAGTCACGTGAAAGTCGAACTCATAGATCTCCAAAAGTTCAGTAAAAAAGTGTGAAAACCCACAAGAAAACACGTGCTTTCTGATCTTTCACAGAAAATTTGCGGGAAGAACATTAAATTGGTGAATTTTTCTCAGCTCTCTACAGCAGTAATTTAACTTTGAGGCAAGGGGAATATCAGATACATTGATATGTTTATCGTGAAGTTATCGTTTTCAAACAGCTTCGTTTTCAAAATGTTTTCCGTCCACTTTAAAACGAAAAAGATATCAAATGGTGCAAATGCCACCAAAGCTGAACATACAAAGTCTGCAAATACAGTCGAACCTCTATTAAGCGGCCACTCTAGGAAACGAGACAACTGGCCCCTTGATAGAGGTGGCCGTTTAATCGAGGTTCACACGAAAATAACGTTGGCGTGGTCCAGTTTTCAGTTTATCAAATATAAGTACCAACTAAGTGTAGAAAAAGGAAAAACAATGATGGCTATAATACGGTCCATAACGTTAATAAAAGCCAGAGAAACAATTACGTGTACAGACGCGACGTGTCTGTCAACCCAACACTGGCTCGCGTGCTGCACAAACAAACTAACACGCTTCGAGACTTTGTTTTGTGATCGTTTTAATTAAATACTGCTGAAAATGTCTTTATAGTATTGTCATTCTTTTACCGTCATCTGGCTAAAAGCGTCCAACTTCAAATCTTCCAGGCCGTTTAATAGAAGTATAAAAGAAGACAAAAATTTGCTTTTTCCATTCATTTTGTGACTTCAAAAACGAATCTAAAAGTTGCTTTTTATACTTTGTCCAACAATTGAAAGCAATTCAACGCAGTGAAATAAAATTGTCTCGTAATTGGAGATTGTAACAATTTTGATTTAATTCAAGTATAACAAGCAATAGACCAACTTTTCCATTATGAGCAAATTACACATCTGTATCAATAGTCAATCACTCCTGGCTACCCACACGTCTTCAACTTTAAAATTCCATAATTACTACATAAATATGAAGCCATTAACTCTGTGCAGTTGAGGTGAATTACCTGCCGCTTTACGCAAGCCTGGGAGAACTTCAGATTGAG